TGTGAAATTGCAGTGAGTGCAATTTCACAATTGACATGGATGACCAAAAACCAATTAATAGAGAACCTAAGTTCTATTCCATATTCTTCACAATATAACAAATCTTACAGGTAAGTTCGAGCAACTAGGATGCGTTATATGAATTTCTTGAAAATTCTAGTCACTTGCCCAAATGACCCTGATGCTTTTCGCTTGCTTGGTGAAACCAAATATGCGCTCAAAGATTACGGAGGAAGTATTGTTGCATATAAAAGTTCTACAATGGTCATTGTGCTATGGACTTTTTGGATAAATGGATAATATTGTGTATGTAATCATGTTCCTAAAGGTTTTGACTTCCTCACTTGGGAATCATTACCAATAAATTTTTAATAGGCATGAATACAAAATATAGTAGGATAGCTTCCAGTTCGTAAGTTTGTGACAATGCTTCCACGGCAACTTTTTATTTTCTTGCAGGTATCGAAGACTATTGAATTTGAAGTCTTCTGTAGCCTTACAAACTCATTGCTGGCTGCAAAAAAACCTGATGAGGTTAGTCAATATGCTAATAAGTATAGTCATTTGCATATGTTGGATTTTAAATTAACTTTAAGACCAATAAAAATGCTGTTTCCAGCAGTGAATCATAATTCTAATCATGGTTTACAACTCGATTGTGGGCACTATCAAATGCAACGGAGTACACAATCNTCAAATTCTACTAAAATTGAATCACGTTGTTTAATATTCTATAGGCTATACAAATGAGGTCACCAAAGAACTAAAAATTACAATATGTGATTTACTCAAAAGTTGGGATTCATTACACTGGACTATCCAATTACTTCAAATTTCAGAAAATAAAACGCCATAGGAATGTATAAACCAAAGATCTTTTGCACAATATTATTTATCCACAATTTTCCATCTTTATTAAAGGGAAAATATTGCAGTGACAACTTGATTCCGTCAAGCACTCAAGTGGAAAACTACCATACTTCTTCAAAACTTCTTTTGTGGTAGTTTGCCAAAAAAACATGAAAAATTTGTGCTCTTTGGCTTCCAAGTGCATTCTATGAACTCGAGATGTTGTTTGGAATGTTTTGACTTGAATTTTATTTAAATGGCCCCCTTTTCAATTATTTTGAAGAAGATACCATCATCTATATATGTATAAAGGAGGTAACTGGGCTTGTTCTTTGACTTCAAACATAGAAAGTTTACTTGTAGTCCTTTTTCTGAGTTACTTGTGATCCATAAAAAGTTCAGTGATGCATAATATGACTTGTTGATTAGTTTTCCTTGTTTCTTAATTTCATGTATGAAGGTGTTCTTTTCTTTCAATTTTTAAGATGATGGTCACTAATACGAATTCTACTTATTGACGTGTTTTTTCTCTTTTTTCATTTGGCAGTTTGTTGTTTATTTATTTTTTTGCAATTTTGTTACGATTTAATTACTCTCTGACGTTATTCGTTCAGTCTGTAAGTGAAAATCGACCTGGGTTTGTCTTCGTTCGCGTCGATTTAAGGTATGCCGTGTTTTTGTATACACATGAAAATTTACATGGGTCCCTCTTCGTTTATTTCAATCTACCAGCTAAGCTTTCCTTTTTGCTTTATTTTTACCCTGTTGTGTTCTTTTTTCGTCGGTATTTTCTTATTTGTTATATTTCTGCTCGATCTTTGCTCTATTGTGTTCGTTTTACAGTCGATATTTGCTTTTCTTGTTACATATAGATGACTAAATGTGAAGTTCTATTCTCTCTTCGAGCATCTTTGCCTTTATTTATTTTTCGTCGATCTATTTAAACACATATAGTAAGCTGGCAAGAATGTGCATAGTATGCATATGCTTGGT